ACTCTAAAAAGAATATATCTCAGATGTGAAGGGCGGCATAGACAAGAGAAAGAATCTCCAAAATGGCATTCTTCGAACAGTGTAGCGCTTAGGTCGTTTGGGAAAGAGATTTGAGTGAGCCGGTAAGCCCTTCCTAACAAGGTGTTGAGAAAGATATAGAATCAACTGCAAACATAGCATCGGTAGAGCCATCATCTGGAATTCCTAGTCTTTTCTTTATTTGTTGATATTGGCCCGGGTAGTAAATGCCTGAATCTATACCTGAAAGGTACCATCTAGTTAGGAGATTACGTTCGTTAGCTTTTGGAATTGATGAAATTGGTTGAATCAGCAATTTTTGAATCGAGCTGGAGTGGCATTTATATATAGATAGGAAGCAGTCTTGTAACTGTGAATTGGTCCTACTATAAGGTTCAGAAAGAAGCCCCACTCCTTGGGTTCGTAAGAAGCGGATGAAGACGGGCATGTAGTGGGGGGTACGGTTTCAGTCACCCCTTACTTTCAACTTTCAGGATCAAAGCTCCAGTCATCGAGGTGGGAGATTATGGATCAGCTAGCTATAGAATAGAAAGAACAAGGGAACTCATCGACCCATCCAACAGTTGGAGATATAACTACGACTCCAATATCCGATATGACAGAAAGAGAAAGAGTCGTGAATGTAGGTGGGACGGTACGGATTCATACAAGACCTTGCCCACACGCTCTGGCGAGATAGGATCGATTACATCTAGAAATAGAACCTTGGAAATGCTATCTATTGACTCGACTCACTCAAAGCCAGGTCTGGTCTTAAGCCGGACAAGAGATTCTGACTGGGCTAGGCGTCATACTAAGTTTACCCGCACATTAGTGAAAGTGGAACTAGACTTTGATCTCTTTTCAGATCATATAAGATACCTTTCTATATCCTCTAACCCAATCCAATTTAGACACAAAGGATGCCAGCCACTTATATTATAGGCTTTCTTGGTAAGCTAATCCTCATACTCAGGTGCCCTAGAAGGGGAAAACCTTAAATTCTCGGATCAAGAAGAAGTCGTCTTACGTTCTATCAATAAACAACCAAAACGACCAGGAGGATAGAAAGCAGTAGTGGTGCCATTACCTTTTCCTTTAGAATCTCCACTCAGGGCAGGCTTCTCTCATTGGAACGATCCGATCACCCTATTCTCAAGCTCCTTAAATGAGGAATCCCCCAAAAGGGATTCAGAATAAGTTGATAGCGGTCCTTATAACTCACTCTTCGGGTTCAGCTAGTCGGGAACAACCAAGAAGAATAGGTATTGATGAGCACCTTTAGCGAGAAGCTTGATAGCCCCTTGTTAGACCTGAGTCTATAGCTTTGGCAGCAACTGATCTATCTCTTTATGGTTTCCTCGGATCAGCTAGCTGAACTGGGCTTGGAGCACACACGTACCCCTCTTAGGATAGGATGCATGTCCCGAAAGACAGATAGGCTCTTTGATCAGTCCTATAGCCCATCTTCGTCTCAGTGAAACTAGGTCAGGAGAGAACGGCTATTCCTTTTTTCACCCAAGGTAACATAACATTACAGGCGAACAACCGCTTCTCAATTGGTTCAAACCCAGTCCTCCAATCAATCCCATTCAGGGTTGAGCATATTGGATTGGAAAAGACTTGACCCTCGTTACAAGAGTGAATTGCCTTGAGTTCATACTGGAATCTACAAGGCAGTTTGCTTTGCCTTTCTTTGTTTCTGGCAAGAGGAATTCCACTTTACACCTTTAAAAGAGTTCTTTCATCGTCCGGTTCTCTAAACTCGAAATAGGAGGGAAATGTAATCGGCAACGAAGTAGCCTCGACGTCGGAAGAGGTTACCTCTAAGCTTGCTGTCCGAGTACGAGTAAGTAAAGGAGTAGACCTTGTTGCTATCACGGTTTTCCCGATGAGAATGCTAATGGGAAGGCCCATACTGTCCATAGCTTGGAGAACAAGCTGTAACCTTTGAGCTAAGCTCTTTCCTGGGCTTGAGGAGCTTCAGGTGTATGGGTTCCTGAAGCGGGTGGGAATTCCTGTTCAAATACCTTTTATTACCAAGGGCAATGTCCGGCTTCCGACCTGGCTTTAAGCCTTTCCTTTTTAATGGGCCTTCTTAGTTCCCGTGCAAAGTAGTAGTTGATTAGCTGTCTTCGTTCATCGAGTAGGCGAATGTAAGGAAGTTTGCCTGAGTACGAGTAGAGGATTGGTTTATAGAGTGAGAAACCTCTCTCTCCTCTCTGGTTGTGGGAAAAGCTCGTTAACTGACTTCAACCTCTCACACACACCTGAGTAGCGATCTAGACTTTTTTATTTCATTCATTGCCCGAACTAGGTGCTGCATAGTGTCAGCTTTGTCTTTCTATCTTATTTATGAACAAGAAGGTCTTGGATCTTTGACTCGAAAAAAGAGTCCTGGAGTGTCCATATGAACCCCGTAACTGGAGTCATTCAAGAAATTAATGCGTGGGGGAATGCAGCAGGAAAAGAAAGAAGACTAGTAGCGGAGGAGGAAACGAGTTAATGGCCGGCCTGCTCATCGTGATAGGCGCTCCTGAGTTGATTCCTTGAGAGGAAAACCATTCTTAAGAAAGGCTTTTCGTTCTGCACATCCGAAATAGGTTGCGCGGCAAGACGGATATGCTCTCCATCGCTCAGGATGACACCTGAGTTGCTTAACTACACCGAAGATGCTTTCTTTATACTAGTTCGGGGCTCTGTAAAGCTCTTCTTCTAGTTAAGTGGAAATCCCATTACGGGTGGGCAACTAGTGAGTAGTGACGTAGCTCATGAGCTTGTTCCAAAGCAGTTCCAATTGACTGTATGAGGATACAAATTCAAAGAATGAAGCCGGTCGTTGGGAATAAACAGTTGTTTGCCTCCATCTTATGTGCGAAAAGAAAACGATAGATATCACTATAAAAGACCTTGGGTCGAATATCGGTCATACCACTCTTTCCCCCTTCACAATAGAATTTGAACACGTCGATCATAATGGAAAGCCTCTTTCCCCCGGTCAGTGACGAAAGTTACCAGGAGCAGTACTTCTCCCGCCGGGCTACCTAGCTGAAACATCTCAGTAACTACCGGCAGATCAAGTGGAAGGCCAGAAGAGTAGGTATGGCCGTGGATGATGATCAAGTGCTACGGGGAAAGCAGAACGATCTGGTCTTCGACATACTCTTGCTCCGTCTGCAGATTTCGGGGGTGCAGGACGAGATGC